ATCGAAAATAATCGATTAATCAAAAATAATCGATTAATTAAAAAGTCGATTAACTGATAAATCGATTAAAAAAAAAACAGAATGATCGATTATTTTAAATAATTAATTATTTTCGATCAATCGATTATTATCAATAATCTATTTTTATTGTATTTCCTTTAAAATCGATAATTCGATTATCTTTGAAATACCAAAAATAATCAATAATTCCAAAATAATCGCCTAATCGAAAATAACCAATTAATTAAGAAGCCGATTCTATGATAAATCGATTTTCCAAAAAATAAAACGAATTATCTATTATTTTCTAATAATCCTTTTTTCATATTTCCTTTTATTTGAAATTGATTATTCGATTATCGAAAATAATTGATTATTAAAAAGCTGATTATCCAATAAATCGATAATTTTAAAAAAATAACCAAAATATCGATTATGTAAAATAACCGATTATATCCAATCGATTATTTTCATATAATATCTTTGAAAAATCGAAAATAATCAAATAATTAAAAAACCGATTAAACGATAAATCGATTATTTTGAATAAATCTACTTTTTTTGTATTTCCTTTAAAATCGATTAATACATTATCTTAAAAAAAACGAAAATAATTTATTAAATACAGCGGATAAATCGATTTTCATTAAAAAACATCAGAATTATCGATAAATCGATTATTTTTGTAACCCCTATCGGTCGCTTGCTTTTATCTGAGCATTTAGCTCCAAAATTTAGAGATTCGGATTTTTTGATCCAGTTATCTTTGAAATCGCATTCGATTGTATAATAAATAAATATTGCTAAATTTTGGATTTTTTTAGTAAACGAAAATTATGTTCGAGTTGTTTAGGGATTTGTAATGTAACATTTTATTAACGTGACTAAGGGTCGATTCCACCGTTGTGTTAAACGAAGTTTAAAATGACATTTTTATATTAACACTGTCATTTTAATCTCCGTTTAACACAACGGTGGAATCGGACCTAACTCCTGTAACTTTAGTATTTTTTTTTGCTTATATTAGATTACTTTGTTTTAAAACTTAAAATTCAATGTCACTTTCGATTTGACCGCAAATAAGATGAACCTTGAAATTTTAAGTAGGTCATCCTGTATTTCATCTAATATTCTTATAAAAATACCTTATAAAAATAAAATTTAGCTAGCAACTATGATTCTTTACCTCTTATTTATCTACCAAAAAGGGCTAAAAACTACCTTTAGAAAACATTCTTATAAAACTACTTTTTAAATACAAAATTTCGTTAGCAATAATGCCTATTTACTATTTATTTAAATTAAATGTTCAAAATTTTACCCTTTTGTAAATTTATGTAAGTAATATGAAATCTGATTTCTGATGCTTAATATTTATTGAAACCCCTTAATGCGGATCTGAAGTATTCAGTCCAGAGAATCATGGCGCTTTATGTCAAAACGTTAATAAATATTTACCGCTGAAAACGAATATATTCATAACATACAATTTTTCAAGATACATCGTGACATTTTGAACTTGAAATTGAATAACTAGAACACTTTAAATTGCTAAAATACCAACAAATAAATCAAAAAACAGCGGTCAATGGTGATTAAACTCAGGTGGAGGTGATCGCTGAATGGAAATCGGAGCAATTCGGGTGGCGTCGTGCAACAATGATTTTCAATTGGTGGGTTACTTTGGCTTAAAATAGACAACATGCGCAGTGTGCAATGTTACATCTTCGGTCTCTTTAATCTAAGTTCTCTACTAACCCAACCGCTGGACGTTGGTTACGCATTCAGTTTTAAACTAAGCGCAATGTCGCCGCGCCGTGCGTATTTATCTCGTTCAAAGCAATTCTAATCGTTCTCGAACACTAACGCGCTGGTCCGGCTGGTCGGTTTTAACCGATTCTAGCTTGATGACGTCAGCGGCAGATCGCTCACCGCAACGTTGCCGCTGTTTATGTTTAATATTATGACAATTAGATTTTTTGCAGTTTGTATTTTTTAAATTAAAATCGTTGTGAGAGCTACCAGAATTGCTTCCGCGAGCTACCGGTAGCTCGCGATCGACAGGTTGGTGACCACTGCTTTAGTGGTTCAAAAAATGTGACGAGAATCTTTTTCTTATTATTTATTAATTATTATTTATTATTATTTATTATTATTTATTATTATTTATTATTATTTATTATTATTTATTATTATTTATTATTATTTATTATTATTTATTATTATTTATTATTATTTATTATTATTTATTATTATTTATTATTATTTATTATTATTTATTATTATTTATTATTATTTATTATTATTTATTATTATTTATTATTATTTATTATTATTTATTATTATTTATTATTATTTATTATTATTTATTATTATTTATTATTATTTATTATTATTTATTATTATTTATTATTATTATTTATTATTATTTATTATTATTTATTATTATTATTTATTATTATTTATTATTATTTATTATTATTTATTATTATTTATTATTATTATTTATTATTATTTATTATTATTTATTATTATTATTTATTATTATTTATTATTATTTATTATTATTTATTATTATTTATTATTATTATTTATTATTATTTATTATTATTTATTATTATTTATTATTATTTATTATTATTTATTATTATTTATTATTATTTATTATTATTTATTATTATTTATTATTATTTATTATTATTTATTATTATTTATTATTATTTATTATTATTTATTATTATTTATTATTATTTATTATTATTTATTATTATTTATTATTATTTATTATTATTTATTATTATTTTATTATTATTTATTATTATTTATTATTATTTATTATTATTTATTATTATTTATTATTATTTATTATTATTTATTATTATTTATTATTATTTATTATTATTTATTATTATTTATTATTATTTATTATTATTTATTATTATTTATTATTATTTATTATTATTTATTATTATTTATTATTATTTATTATTATTTATTATTATTTATTATTATTTATTATTATTTATTATTATTTATTATTATTTATTATTATTTATTATTATTTATTATTATTTATTATTATTTATTATTATTTATTATTATTTATTATTATTTATTATTATTTATTATTATTTATTATTATTTATTATTATTTATTATTATTTATTATTATTTATTATTATTTATTATTATTTATTATTATTTATTATTATTTATTATTATTTATTATTATTTATTATTATTTATTATTATTTATTATTATTTATTATTATTTATTATTATTTATTATTATTTATTATTATTTATTATTATTTATTATTATTTATTATTATTTATTATTATTTATTATTATTTATTATTATTTATTATTATTTATTATTATTTATTATTATTTATTATTATTTATTATTATTTATTATTATTTATTATTATTTATTATTATTTATTATTATTTATTATTATTTATTATTATTTATTATTATTTATTATTATTTATTATTATTTATTATTATTTATTATTATTATTTATTATTATTTATTATTATTTATTATTATTTATTATTATTTATTATTATTTATTATTATTTATTATTATTTATTATTATTTATTATTATTTATTATTATTTATTATTATTTATTATTATTTATTATTATTATTTATTATTATTTATTATTAATTATTATTATTTATTATTTAATTTTAATAAATTTTTTTCAGAATCGATAATCCCTTTATAAAGCTTAATTTTTTCTGAATATTTTAAATTAATATCCTTTTTTATTTCTATTTTTATCTCCTTATAGAACTTGATTATTACTAAAAATTTTATGTTGATAGCGCTTTTAGTTTTAGATTTATGAGGCTTCTTAATTTCATCCCAAATTAATTTTTTATTATAACACTTGATTTTTGCTAAATATTCAAGTTGATATCATTTTAACCCCATTCTTATCACCCCGTTTTTTATCAGATTTGTTTTCAGAATGTATAAGCTTCCTCTCATTATAGAGCTTGATTTTTTCTAAAAATTTCATATTGATGTCGCTTTTCGTTTTTGATTTATTAATATTTTTTAATTTCATTTCATCTTAACCTCCCCATTTTTATTTATTTTTTCAAAATCAATAGGTAGACTTTGACTTCTTATAGAGCTTGGTTTTTGCTAAATATTTAATGTTGATATCATTTTCAGTTTTTGAGTTAGGAATTTTTTTTTTTTTAATGATTAATCAAGCTTTTTAATTTTTAACTTAAGTAAAATGTTAATAACAAAGTGAGAAACAACAATTTTTAAATTTTTTCAACGGGAATATCTTCTGATACCGTTCAAAAAAAATATCAGATTTGTTATTTAAAAATTACTGTTCTTTCAATGTTCATGTGCAACTAGGAAAAAAATATTAATTAACTAATGCATATTTAATAGAAAAATCGCGACAAAAATTTTTTGACCTCGGATTACTGTTCATTCATCTATCCAGTAGACGCCTGCATTTTTTAAATTCGTAATGTTTATATTTAATAAGTTTAAATAATATTTAATCATTAAAGGTCCACAGTGAGTGGCCGTACTTTCAACCCTCTGGGAAAATTATAAATATTGGTCCTACAATTCCGAAAGGTACGATTTTTTGGTAGGAAATTTCCTCTTCTTTTTGAATCTTTTTTCAAATTTGGAAAAATTCAAATAGTTTTTGAGATATTTGCAAAAAATCAAAGCCTATTTTTTTAAATTATTTATTTATAACTTTTGCAATTTTTCCAAGCGGATCTTGAATTCTTTCAAAAATCTTCTACACGCTATTCCGAATCGAATGACAGCTCGCTCATATTTTTTAAAAGCAGAGAAAAAATTTAACCCAAAATGCAATTTTTAACTAGTAGTTTGTACGTAGAATAAATAATATCCATATTATTAAAAAAAAAAAGGTTTTATAATGTTAATATTAAATAAATTTTGTAAACTACCAGTTTATTTAAAAACAAATCTGCACTTACCCTATTTATCTGCTTATTTTGAGCTAATACATGTCCTAACAAAATTAAAAATACTCCTAGAAAATAATACATTTTGTCTTTGACTCACACCGGTTACGTTAAGTACTAGAATAAAAATCACGACCTTACACGCTCTGCGAGTTGGATTTAATTAATAATAAATAATTAAACAAACGTTTATTTATCAAGTTATGCTGAATAGTGGTTTTTCCAGCTATACGCTAAAGAATAAAGCGTGCAAGGTAGACAGAAGACGTATTTGATGGTTTAAAACCAAATTGAAAATGCATCTTATCTCTATTTTAGGAAGTATTACTCATAATTTAGATAGCGTAAATACGTCGGTCATTACGATCAGGTGGCGAAAGGAAATAAGTCATTCCGGTGTAATCTTTAAAACAGTAGTGGCGTCTGTGGCTTGGTACAGGGAACTGAAAAACTACGGCTTGCGGGTCCTTTTTGCCCACAAATCTCTGTTTTCTACCTGTGTAAGTATGTTATGTTGATAATGGGGTGTTAATACACTGCGACCTAAAAGATCGCCTGTGTAAGTAAAGGGGTGCGTTAATCTTACTGTTATTTTGCCCACAGTAGCATTCAGGTACCTAAACCCGCAAATTACATCCGCCCACAAATAGGTACCTACCTGATTATTAATAATTCTAATAGGTACTTACTTTGGGTGTTTAATGTTTATATTTCAGTCAGTTTTTATACGTTGATGATTGTAATTCGAGTGTTTATAAACAATAATTATTTCTATAATGTCAGCTACATTGATTAAAAGCTCACGCGGGAAAGATGTACTCCTTTTGGAGAATTTTACGTTTGCCAAAGATAGAGAAATGAAAAGTGGAGAAGTTTCTTGGAGATGCTCCCAAAGAAAAAAAATTATTTCTAATTCGTGTAAGCGAAAAGCAGTTGATGATATTTCGGAAAAACCTTCTAAAATTATCCGTAAAGTACTTGCTACTAATTTACCAGAGTCACTAACCACAATTGATGTGTCCTACATAAGAAAAACTATATACAACAGACGTCGCAAAATACTACCAGGTCCATTACCTACAAATATACAAGAAGTGCATGATGCAGTTGACTTATATTCTAATACATTTAAAACCAGTAAAGGTGGACATTTTCTTTTAATAAATAGCAGAGAAAATAATATTATTGTATTTACATGTGAGACAAATATTCGTACTTTGTGTAAAATGAACGTCTTGTATATGGATGGAACATTTTCGTATTGTACAAAGTTTTTCCTACAATTATTTACCATTCATGGGCTGTGTAATGAACACTATGTGCCCCTGGTATATTGTTTATTACCAAACAAATCTACCGATATATACAAACATTTGTTTTCGTTATTGCATTATAAAATTTTGGAAACTTACAGTATTGCTTTAAATCCATCTAAAGTGTTCGTTGATTTTGAAATAGCAATTCATAAGGCGTTAATTTATATGTGGCCTAATACTGTAATCAATGGCTGCCGATTTCATCTACATTAAGCGTGGTATCGTAAAATTCAGTCTCTGGGATTAATGACTGAATATACAACTAACAGTGATACCGGAAAATGGCTTAAAACATCATTTGGGTTGACAAATTTAAACGCCGATGAAGTTGGAGACTGTTTTGTGTTTGACTTAATGGCAAGTAAACCAAAAAATGCCGTTCTCGATAGGTATGCCGATTACCTATTAGAAACATATATTGAAGAAAATTCTACATTTCCTCCAAGTATATGGGCAGAAAAAACAGCTTCAATTACAAGAACTACAAATGCCTGTGAGTCGTTTCATTCAAGGTTTAATTCTTCATTCTACTGTACACATCCTTCTGTATATATTTTTATAGAAAAGCTTAAAGACTTTCAAATCGACACGTATGTCACAATACAAAGCTTAAGTATACCTAAGAAAATCAAAGACAAAAGTGTAAAACAAAAAATTCAGTGTTTAGAAAAATTTATACAGCGATTTGATCTGCAGCAAATCAGCAGATTAGAGTATATAAAATTTGTATCACATTTATCCCTCCCAGTTGAAAAATATGTAAATAAAATATAAATATATAAAAAATATAATATAACTTATGTATACTTACTTTTTTATAATAATAAAAATTAGTGTTTAATATAATTTTTAGTTTAATTAATAATGTGTTTTTACTTTTCGATAATATATAAAAAATCTGATGTATCCAACACATGACTTTCCTATCTAGTTATTATAGGCTTTTTCCGGTTATTTTGTACAACCTATTGCATCTCGATAAATGTTTAGAGGATAAACTAAATATATACATTGTCCACATACATCTACCTCGAAACATTTTTCTATAGATATTCATGGAAAACGAAAATACTGAAAAATTAAAATTTCCTACAATTTTTTCATTACGGTCCATTTTAGAAAAATCATGTATAAACAAAAATTATAGAGATCGATATCGCAAACAACTTTTATTTCAAAAACTTTGATAAAAATCAGAATTTTGCACATTTTGTCAAATTTCTCGAATACGGACCATTTTAGGAAAATTTTGTATAGAACAAAAATTATAGATAATTATATTAGAAGTAACTTTTATTTAAAGAATTTTCTTCTCCAAACATAAATAAATAACAGATATATTCCATAAAATATAGAAACGGTCTCCCATAAAGTACCCCCCCAGATGTTCCGACTTTGTCCAAAATCGAATCATTTCACGTCAGGCCGAAATAAACCTTAAGTTTAAAATTTAATGTTTTTTTCTGTAATTGTTTTTGAGTTTTCTTCAAAATTCGAAATTTACACATTTTCTCAAATATCTCGAATACGGTCCATTTTAGAGAAATTATGTATAGAATAAAAATTATAGAGAATTATATTACAAACAACTTTTATTTGAACAATTTTTATAAAAAATTATTTTTTTTTAATTTTTTCAAATTTCTCGAATACGGACCATTTAAGGAAAATTTTGCATAAAACAAAAATTATAGATAATTATATTAGAATTAACTTTTATTTGAAGAATTTTCTTCTCCAAACGTAAATAACAGATATATTCCATAAAATATAAAAATGACCACCTATAAAGTACCCCCCCAGATGTTCCGACTCTGCCCAAAATCTAATCAGCTCATTGGACGCTGAAACAAAGCTTAAATTTAAAATTTGGTGTTTTTCTGTGTATCGGTTCATGAGTTATGCGTTATACAGACACACACACACACACACACACACACACACACACACACACACACACACACACACACACACACACACACACACACACACACACACACACACACACACACACACACACACACACACACACACACACACACACACACACACACACACACACACACACACACACACACACACACACACACACACACACACACACACACACACACACACACACACACACACACACACACACACACACACACACACACACACACACACACACACACACACACACACACACACACACACACACACACACACACACACACACACACACACACACACACACACACACACACACACACACACACACACACACACACACACACACACACACACACACACACACACACACACACACACACACACACACACACACACACACACACACACACACACACACACACACACACACACACACACACACACACACACACACACACACACACACACACACACACACACACACACACACACACACACACACACACACACACACACACACACACACACACACACACACACACACACACACACACACACACACACACACACACACACACACACACACACACACACACACACACACACACACACACACACACACACACACACACACACACACACACACACACACACACACACACACACACACACACACACACACACACACACACACACACACACACACACACACACACACACACACACACACACACACACACACACACACACACACACACACACACACACACACACACACACACACACACACACACACACACACACACACACACACACACACACACACACACACACACACACACACACACACACACACACACACACACACACACACACACACACACACACACACACACACACACACACACACACACACACACACACACACACACACACACACACACACACACACACACACACACACACACACACACACACACACACACACACACACACACACACACACACACACACACACACACACACACACACACACACACACACACACACACACACACACACACACACACACACACACACACACACACACACACACACACACACACACACACACACACACACACACACACACACACACACACACACACACACACACACACACACACACACACACACACACACACACACACACACACACACACACACACACACACACACACACACACACACACACACACACACACACACACACACACACACACACACACACACACACACACACACACACACACACACACACACACACACACACACACACACACACACACACACACACACACACACCTTCA